AATTTCTAGGATATTCGAAATGCAGACCACTGTTTGACCCCTTCGTTTTCATGCTAAATCGGATCTTTTATGAGAATGCTTAAAAGCTCTTGTTTCTGACCACTGCTTAATAATGCCGGTTTTGTCGTGCATACAGAACGCACTGGGTTGCACGCTTGCAAAGCCTCGTCCTCAAATTTACTGAGGCTGCTTTCGACAAAGTAAGCCATGGAGCTGTGTTGGGCGGAATCAAGAACCGAAGGTGCATATGAATAGGCTGTAGAGTTACAGCCCGATTTAGATGTTCCAATGCGATGCTCATCCAGCGTACCTGATGCACGGCACAAAACAACTCCATGCGAGATTTGCGAATCGCCCCCTAATCAAACTAGCACACTTTCTTGACGTCCAAATGCATGGTTGTGAACTAACGCTGAGTTTCTAGCTATGATCTTATCTATCTCGGCGTTAATGCAGACCTCATAGGAAGTGCTCGAATGCGTAGGCTGGGAAGATTTGCGAGCTATTTTAATAATTAGATGGGATAGGTTGTTGTCAACTTATAATGCTTTTCGCTTGCCCATTCCCTGAGAGGTTATGTTCGATGGCATCCACCCTTAGCACAACCTTACCAGGGCAACGTTATGTGCTTGCGGAGCTCTTTCGAAGTCTACATTAGAATTGTTGCACTCACTGTTGATAAGTGTATGTCATCTAATGTATTGTTTGGATGTATCTGAGTATCCGCCGGCCACCATGGTCAGCTGTAGGTGGGCTTTGGCGAGTCTATATCCTGTTGACCTATATCCGGCCGGCTTAATTTGGATGGTTGTAAGGCTATAACCAAAAGTACCTTTCCTCACTATTAGAGGTAACACGTGACGCTGGTGTTGTGTATTGTCGTCTCCAAAAATTAATTGTTATGGGTAACCTTCTATGAACCATACCTCAACTTCGTTCTTCTCATGCCTCTGGTTTGATGGGTTTGTCATTGTTGTGTCACTCAGTTAAACTTATCTGGCTGGTTGAATACTAGTAATTGGAGGGTCAATTTTGGATTACACGTTGTGTGATTGGATTGCGACGCGCAATCTCAATGTAGACCGCGATGCACGTTGAAGTGAACCTTGGTCACTGCGATCACTTTGACCGTAGCCGAAGCAGATGGAAATGGGATGTTGCCCACCCGAAAACACTGCACAACCACAACGCGTTTCGATGTCATTTCATCTCATCAGGTAGAGATAGCAGGCGTCGAACCCGTAACCATTGGAATAGTACCCGAAACCTCTACCCCTTTGAGTATCGCGTCAGGGCGGGCAACGCTTGTCACAACGGTGAATGACTAATTGGAGGGTCAATTTCGGCTTACACGTTGCGTGAAATGACATCGAAACGCGACGCGGTTGTGCAGTGTTTTCTGGCGGGCAACACCCAATTTCCATCTACTACTAATAATGTTTATTCTCGCGTGTATGGGCTATGTCTTTTTGATATGATCAGTTTTTATTTACAAAAGCTAGTCTAGATGTTAGGAAGAAATAAGAGTTGATAGTTGGGTTTTGGAATACCTGCCGTGTGTCTTAAATTGCGAAACGCAATCTCATTTGTAGCCTCGGTTGACCTTGAAGTCAGCCTTTGCCAGTCCGATCACAGTGACCGAAGTGGAGGATCTCGGCGTGGCTCTCTCCCATCCCTACACTCCACAACCGACGGTTTCGTCTTGGTTTGAACTCATCAGGTAGAGATAGCCTGAATTGGGAATGCCATTGGGTTAGGTTGGCGGCTATCATCATGATCACTCGACCATTGTGCTTCGCGGGCACAGCTGCACGTAGCGGTTATGAATTGATAGTCAGTATAGAATAGAATGCTTCGTGACGCCCTGACGGATAGTTTCGTGTATGGACCGAACCAAGTTTTCTTTTCCTAGGTTGAAGCATGAAAGCAATTTTATGGGGGTAAATGAAACAGTTACATTAGAATTCGAAAGTATTCAACATACTATCTAATATAGGCATATTTTTTCTCTATTGTGACCTTTCCATCTGGTATAGTGTAAAACTGAGGTATTTATTTATTTTAAGCCCAGCCGCTGCACATGTAAGCCGAGACAAAGAAAAGGACGGTGATTTGCTCTATGTAGCAGATGTGGTTGGCATTATTCAACCGCTTCAGGCATTTTGTTTTAACTGTACCCTAAGTCTATGCGAGTAGGTAAAAACAGAAAAACAATATTGGAAATGGGGTTGAATATGTAGGAAGTAGTTTCCCCTTGTCGCCTGACTTGTTTTTATGATGACCACAAGGAAAACGTGACCGAGTAAAAAAGCGAATGAAGATGGATAGATTCAGTCAGCGTTCATTCCAAGCTTACGCTTTTTGTTATGGCTGTAAGGTAGGCGCGGCTGAATCAGCAGGATATGGAGAATGGAGACAAAGGTGTTTAGCTTAAGCTCAATTTGCAATTCCTCTGCATCCCACACCTGTTGGTATGCCTGGTGTATGCTTTCTCGAGTAAAGAAGTTGTGTGAGTTGGATGAAGAAGAGTGAATCGGACTTTGTCAACTTTCCATTTCTTTATGTACCTCTTCTGGAGGGCCTGGCCTAGTAAATATACTACATGGATCCTTCTTGGCTTATAATGAATATACCTGTCTTGGCCCCCACCTCAAATAGTATTTTTTCATCGCAATTAAACTGCTACCTTGTTTAACATATTACACAACCTGTCGGTTTAAGCACTGGTTACGATTCGGATTCTCTTATTTCAATAGGAAAGCTGTTCCAGATCTCATTGTTTCTGTCTAAGCAGAATCTTCTTCGAAGATCAGATTTTGTTTTAAACACTGGCAGTTAGTTCTTGATATTCATAATGGCGTAGCTACCCTCTTGTTTGAAGTTAATCGTGATGTTTGGTCCGAATACCTGCTTATGGAGCAAATCTAATAGGAATGTTACTCTTAGCTTCATGCGTCTTAGCCACTGTGGCTCCAGTTGTAACATCTTACAATGGTCGGAGTACTTAAATTTGGACGAACTGTTAATGAGGTCCTTTGTGAATGATCGCTGCACGTTCTCTAGGCACACACGGTCACGTTACCAGCCGCTCATAAAACTAATCGAACGGTACTCTAGCACAGGGTGAATGCAGACGTTAAACAAGTGTAGATTAGATTCACGCATGGGAAATGATATTAAGCTTTGCACTCCTTCATGGTCTGGTCGTTATGAATTCGATTTGATCGCCAAAATTCGAAGTGCCTAAATCGTACATAGCATTATTACAAGAGATAGATTTACCATTAAGTGAAACAACAGTTGACGAAAGTTCACAATTGCATGTTAACTGGCTACATTTGTCCGCTGAGAAGGATGTTTACCAATAGGTGCACCACGTTTCCAAGGCCAGGAGATCTATGCGAATATTTTCTAGAGTATCGCATAAACACCGAATATGGAGGGTGTATAGTATTTTTATGTCATCCGCAAGTTTTATCGTTTCAGCTCTATTGTTGACATTTTCTATGGAGATCAAAGGACCAAACACCCTATCTTGAGTCACACCGTTTTTGCTTTTCAGTGGTGAAGATTTACTCTGCTCTATTTCTATTTGTTGCGTGCGACAAATGAGTTCGGACCATGCATGTAAGGGATCAGTTCTCCCGAAATTTGTTAACTTCTCCATTGGCATTCGTTACGGAACTTTGCCAGGCGGACGCGCACCAGAAGCTGTGGCATCAGTTGTTATGATTCCTTCCGGCATGACTCGGTTTTGCAACATTATGGCCTTTTCGTGTATGGTCTTTTACTCCGCGCTGTTGCTCCTTTTGTCCATCAAGCCTATCGATTTTATCTTCCGACCAGATTTCTTTAGATTTTGGTCCGGAACTTGGTTCGTGTTTCCTCCTTGTTGCTATTTTTCTATACTTTTCATAGCGATGAATAGCTTTGCACCGCCAATCTATGCCTTTTCTCTGCCTATTGAATCCATAGGGCTTTTATATTCCTCAGGGACATCAAGTTCCTCCATAGATCTTTCAAAAGGGTCCATAACGCTTTCAAGTTCAATCCAACAGGTGCAAACACCTAAAAATTACATTCTGTTCGTTGAGTGATTAATCACAAACAAGCAGATATTATACCAGATGAGCAAAGTGCGTGGGATGATATTGCCCGATTTGGATTTGGTTACTCCATGAACCGTAGCATTTAGGGGTATTCGCACCCTATGGATTCAACTTGAAGGCATTATGGACCGTCTTGAAGGATTTGTGGAGGGACATGATTTCCTTAAGGAGGAATTTGAAAGCGTTATTGATTTAATTGACTGAGAAAAGGAATAGTCATGGTTGATTAACCGAGGTGAATTGATTTATTAAGCCTAGATAATTTGTTTGGACTGGAACGCCCCTAACATGTGTCTTCGGTATTCATATAGTGTCAGGCGACATGTACACTGCAGCGCTACCTTCATTTATGAGATCCGCATAATTAAATATGTAAATCAGCAGTGGGTTCCTTGACGGTATTTGCGCCATCCCTAAGTCAAGGTCCCACAGTCCCCATCACCACTTCATTTCATTCATGGCCCATTTCGAATCACATCGGAATAACCCCATCACTCCTCTCTACCTTACAACTGCATTGTGACGCTTGCCATTCTCGGTAGAGGTTAATTCAAGGGGAGTTTGTCCGATGTTTGGGCTTCCTGTTTAGCCTAAGTACGATAAGTATTCTTCTGCTATTAAATAACTAAGTAAACCACGTTGGGGCTGGTATGGGAAGACCGCGGCAGCGCCCCTACTCCAAGCCTTCCAGCCTTGACACCGTAGTGTCTCCAGTCACTGGGTCAAAAGTAGAAAGCATTTATTTTTTTAACTACTTTTTTACTGGTGGTATACTCCGAGTTGACACCCTCAGAACTCCATCACATTTTTGTTGCTCGATATTGCCTTTGATGTGGCCACTTGATCCCATTTCTCAAATACACGCTTGTTTTCTCTCTTACTGTTTTAAAGATCATGAAATACACCGACCAACAGCTCATGGATGGCGTGGAGGAGTATGCCATGCTTCGAGATCAACGTGAAAATCCGTCACCTTTTATGGATAATATACAACGCATAGTGAGTACCCGGTGATAACTTGTTCATTTGTATCGGCATTCCATTCACCCGCACAGTGATCGACCTTTCGAAATATGCTCCACCTACTCAGTGATAGCGTATTTCCTGATACGTGTTCATGAAGGTGCCCTTCTGTATCTTGTACTCCTCTGTGACCTCTATGTTCACTCACACTCCTGCAAGTCGGTGTAAAACGCGTGTTTTGCACATAAGTGATAACTACTGGTATGGTTGGTACGAACCTTATCTGATGGTCATTCCCTACTGGGTTCCGCAACGCAGCCGTTGTGATCCCTCCCAACAGAGTGCTTTGCTCTGTGTCGTACGACTGGACTTGCACTTCTGTTGTGCATAAAAGATGCCTGGAACCTCACTGATTAAACCCTTTATGCTGTTTCCACTACACGTTTGTGAAACCGGGCCCATTAAATCGGCAGACGTAGAGAGGCTAGTTACTTTCGACTACCGATGACTTCGTAGTTTGGCTCCTATCTGGTGGGAACATTGCGTGAGCAGTGAGCAGGTTCGACGCAGGAAAACGAAGTGGACCGTTCAGCACCGTTTTTTCTCAAACCAGGCTCCGATGGTTGGGTATGCCAGCACACCGACTCCTGCAAATAATCTTTCGATGCTCTGGCGCCCTATCTGCTGCATTGACCAGTGTGGATAAGGGTTTGGATGCTACTGCTCAAGCCTTCCTTCTTCCCTCTAGCGCTTTTCCCTCATTGTTTCGTTCAAACTTTTTTTATCCCCCCGGTTTTCAATGCCCTAATTCTTGGCCTTCCCCTTCTTTGTTCAGTAAACGTTTATCTTTTACTTTCGACTCACACGCAATCACAGGGCTTCGCTCTGGTCCAGTCGACAAGTGCATGTCCAGCCAAACAGACAACGTTAGTTCATCCGCTTTTATCTGGAGTCTTCGGTTCTCCCTAAGACTGGCATGCCTCAATGTGCGCACTTTGTTTCAAGTTGGCCAACAGGCAGCATTTGCCCGGACACCGGAGACCCTATCAATTGATATATGCTGCTTGTCAGAAACGCGCTTGCAAAATTCGAGTTATGTAATATCCCTCCGATCCCCAACCTGCGACACTGGCGGTACTTTCTTATTGCATTTGTCCAGAGATGTAGCGGATTGAGAGGGCGGTCAAGTCGGTATGCTCTTTGCTCTTAGCCCCCGAGCTGAATCTGCCTTGATCGGTTGGACCCCAATGAACAGCTGAATGTGCGCTGTCAAGTTGATTGGCTCGTTCACAGCATCTAAGTTGCGTGGAGACTAACGGTGCTTATTTGTCATTGCGGTTTATACGCCCACAAATTGCAGCGCAGACTTGGTGATAGACGACTTCTTTCACTAATCAAACGTGTTCTTTCTTCACAGAAGTGGTACTAATACTGTGGTACTTGCTGGTGATTTGAACTCCCAAGTCTGATAACTGTTCACTGATGTGCTTCATCTGGGCGGTCAACACGATGTAAGCTACCGTAATGATAACAGTGGGCGGTTGCTACGCCTGTGTGAAGATGTTCGTCTGTTTCTCGCGAGCACTACCTCAGACACAGCACCCGCCGGAGGGTGATATGGCGCCCACCAGCCATGGACGTAAATCGATCACATTGCGATCAGTTACCACTGGAGAGTGTGCGTTCAAAACTGTCACTCAATTTGGTGCACGAGCGTGGACTCTGACCACCCACTTGCTCGCGCCAACCTCCGGGTACGTTTCGGTGAACGTCGGCGACGGCGCTGTGAAGGCATACGTATATGGCAGCTGACGAAGCCAGTGGTTCTGAATGCGTATCACAGTACGCTAGCATCCGGACCTGAGTAAACGTTTATTGAACACAGTTGTGGATCACTCGTTGCAAATTCACTAGACGTTATTAACAACAGGCATGTCTTCATGTGGAAAATCAAATTGCCGACCTAGACATTGGGCCTCTATGCAGTCTTTTGAACTTCTGGATGCTCGCTGACGTGTTCCAGCTGGAAGCAAATGCAATGCTTCTCGCGAAACTATATGCTAGCCTGATGGGAGACCGCGAAGCGTGGTGGTCTCATCGTATCTCGGAGATGGAAACAGCCGCTGCTATTGGTAACCATTGGCAGTTATTCCGTCTGATGCGAGAAACGGGCAGCAGCAGACCTGTTGTTAGCGACATCATTTGCGATGAGAGTGGACATCCGATCCACAGTTTATCAAAACGCTTGGAGCTTTGGGCCGAACACTTTGAGAAGCATTACTTATGAATGGAAGGATTTTGGTGAGTATTTTGTTCGTCGCAATCAGCCGGAAGGCCGACCGCTGTCATCTGCATGGCAGGTGCCTGCATGGCAGTGGAGGATGCGTCGGGCTATATCGCATTTAGCTAACAATTCACGATAGTTAGATACCGTCCTCCATGGCGCAGTTGCATAAGCTGCGGGCTAGTTGGCAAGAGCCACTAGCAGTCATGGATTCGATCCTCCACAGAGGACCGAAGGATGCGCACCACTGATAAGCCCCAATAGGGCGAAACGGCCGTCTGGTGCTTTTCCGGACAGCTGGTCGACATATCTGAATTGTCAGCTGATTGCGACGAACAAAATACTCACCAAAATCCTTCCATTCATAAGTAATACCAATTCGCCCGTACGGATTCCACAAAATGCTATGTCGATTCATAGCTGCCGTAACCGGGAAGTCCTGACGCCGGAAGGCCGACCGCTGTCATCTGCATGGCAGGTGCCTGCATGGCAGTGGAGGATGCGTCGGGCTATATCGCATTTAGCTAACAATTCACGATAGTTAGATACCGTCCTCCATGGCGCAGTTGCATAAGCTGCGGGCTAGTTGGCAAGAGCCACTAGCAGTCATGGATTCGATCCTCCACAGAGGACCGAAGGATGCGCACCACTGATGAGCCCCAATAGGGCGAAACGGCCGTCTGGTGCTTTTCCGGACAGCTGGTCGACATATCTGAATTGTCGGCTGATTGCGACGAACAAAATACTTTGAGAAGCAGTTTAATCGGTCAGAGTTGCTAGTTTCTCCATCGGTCTACTCCGTGGGCCGCCCCGTTTTATGTGCCCTCGCGCAACAATCGAACTTGAGCTCAGACGGCTGAACGGCCGCGGGAACAGTTAGAGTTCATCTGCCTCTCTTCAAACATGCCGAAACTGCTCTTTTGGACGATTTATATAAGTTACTGGTGAATCTATGGGCGCAAAAGACTGTCCTGACAGACTGGAGCCGCTCCGTAATGGTTCCATTTTTCAAGGGAGGCTCTCGTTCCGAATGCGGCAATCATAGAAAGGTCAGTCCGATCCCCATTGTTTAAGTTCCTTGCCTTTGTCGTCCTCCATAGGCTGACTGGCGTCCGTGAAAGCCAGGCGCGCGAGGTTCAAGCCGGGTTTCGTCGAAATCGAGGCTGCATTGACCACATCTTCACATTACGTCAGCTGTTGAAGCACCGCCATGTTTATTGGCAGCCCACCGTACCCGTGTTCCTAGACATCAAAGGAGTCTTGAATCGGGGGATCGATGTGTCCTTTGGGACTGTCTAATGAGGAAAGGTCTGTCCGAGAAATATGTAAATATTATCCGATCGCTATACGCGCGTAGCTCGGGCAATGTGAGTTTACGTCAAGCTTTCCCGCCATTCAGTAGCTCCAGCTGTGTGTGACAAGGTTGCCCATCTTCACCTTTCCTCTTCAAGTTTGTTATTGACTAAGTTATGGAGACGGTGTTCGCCGGACACGACTTAGGTGTGGAGCTGCTCCCTAGTGAACGATTTCTAGACTTGGAGTAGGTCGACGACATTGCGCTCATCTGTGATACCTCCCGAACCTGCCAAGTTGCACTAGATGCATTAGCTCTGGCTGTTAGTCGTTTTGCGCTATGCCTTGCATCGTCGAAATGCAGTTCTCCAAGACTGGCATGAACCCACTCTTGCGCTAACCCTTGGTGGTGATCATCTAGAAGTCATTCAGAAATTTTGCCATATGGGTTGTTATATCAGCGTCGGTGGAACTGAAGATGAGATCACGAACTGTATAGCGAAACCTCGATGCGCCATCTATGACGCCGGCGTGACTGCTCTCCCTCTGAATGGCCGAGTTTACAATGCAGCCGTCCTTACAACCCATCCTGTACGGTTGCGAGATCTGGCCCATCAAGTCGATAGACACAAAGAGGCTAATTACGTTCGATCACTGGTATCTGCGTAGCTTGGCTGATGTCTGGTGGAAGCAGCGCGTGAGACATGAGCCTGTTTGGTGCAGTAAGAGCTAGTGAACCGCTCCGCACCGTTATCTCACGCACCAGGCTCCGATAGCTGAGCCACGTGTTGCGCATGCCAGCCCACCGACTCCCGCGGCGTGCGTTGTTTGTGCGTCGAAGGTGTGGATGGAAAAGGAGGATGACGGAATGAAGTTACTCACTTCGAAGTTGGCGTCGGTTGATATTTCCCGACTGCCGGGCTAGGGTGCAAAGGACGATGAACACCTATGGTTGGCTACACTAGCCGAACTGGCGAAGAGTCGACTTCAATGGCGTTTGCGTTGTGAATCTTGTCCCTCCCCTTTAAATTCCCCCAACAACAACAACAACAACAACAACAACAACAACAAATGTGATATTAGCACCATTTTATTTCTTATACCTTGAAAGTTTACATTGTCTCATTTTTTGTTTTTCGGCACATTAGCTGAGGTGTGTTTCTCCCCATCAGTCCACGTGCATCGATGGTGATGATGACGATTATGGTTGTGATGTATTATTATTATGACGATGATGATGATGATGACGCCACAGACTCACACAGCGTGCGTTGTCTGCTCGACCGGGGTGTGAACGAAAGAAGCGGAGGGGAGGCCAACCGCCGACGTGGTCAAGCGGGATGTAAACCCTTAGTTCCAAGTTGGCCTCGGTTGGGGCTTCAGCTCCCTGGTTAGGGCCCGAAAGGTAATGAACACGTTTGGCTAGATACACTTGTTGACATGGCAAGGAGCCGACTTC